CTGATGAAAGGGATTTCATACAGGTTAACATCTAATAGACCAACGAGTGATTGTACGTATCCCTCCTGTGGATTCTGAAAACCGAAGTCAATAAGATAGAAAAAACAACGCTGGCTACTGCATCAAAAATATTTAGTTTTATAGGGCCCTCATGAAGCTTCGAAAATGTTTGCACCATTAGTATTCTAAATCTGCAAAAAAAAGGGCAAATTTGCCTCTAAGTACAGGACATTATTAGCGACGAATGACGGTAATACAAGACATAGCCTTAGGGCATCTTTTTCCAGGAGTACCAGTGGCAGCAATTTAGAAGCTGGAGCACCCGAATATAAAACACATCCATATTCCAAAACGAGGCATATTTACATTTTGTATATGATAATTGGTGAATCTCTCCGCACCCCCCATCGACTGTTGCATAGCCTTCGTAGGACTCCTAGTGCCCTTACTCCTTTCTTGGCTATGCATAGAATGTTTAAGTGGTAAGGAGCTTGCTATCATAGATAACTCGCAGATATATTATGAAGTCCTCTTGCGATATATTCTGGCAGGTTGCAAGTTAACCTGATAATAACTGGATTATACAAAAGGAAAGAATAATTTCGCTTTTTTAATATTAAGACATATATGACTAGCCTTTCACAATTTTTAAATGGCACACAAATGCGATTGTAAGAGAGTATATAATGAATGTGTATTCGTATCTGAAGTGAAAAAGGCTATGTCGTCTGCATAAACATATGTGTATACTCCATCATCACTGGGAATGGTGCTTAGTAATATATTAAAAAGAAGAGGTGAAGTAACTGCTCCCTGTGGAACTCCTCGTGACTGCGAATGTATATTTGAAGAATGACCTTTTAGTGAGCAATAGAACACCCTTCTACTTAAACAATTCACTAAACCACCTTCACCATGCAGTTATAGATGGCGTGATATTTTAATTGATCCGATAATATTCTATATTCTACACTATCGTAGGCTTTTGAGATGTCCAATGTTACCAGGGCTGCTACTTGTCTGTGATGGCGCACTAGTTAAATTCGGCTCTCCAAGTCCACATAGGCATGCCGAATAGAGCATCCAGGTCTAAAACTAATTTGGAAGGGGCCCAGAATTTATGTGTTTTCTACTAATTTAATGAGACGCGCATAAAAGATTATTTCTACTAATTCAACTACATGGAAGTTAGCGCAATGAGTCTAACATTGTCCAGGGTGTATCCTGTGCAGTTAATTTTAAAGAAACAGATTTATTTTAGCAGTTTTCCAACTATAAAGAATCCATGAGCATTTCATAGAATGGTTAATTATAGTTAATGAAATATCAGAAGCCTCATTGAAAAAGTTTTTTAACATTTTTGAAGTGATTCCGTCACCGCCTGGAACAGAATTTAAAAGCCCTTGGATAGCCATGCACGAGCTGGCCATGGGCAGCTCAGCCTTTGATACCTCACTGAAATCATTACTCTGTGTTATACGTTTAGTGCAAGGAGATAGGAAAGATGAGAATCAGTTTTCTAGACCATTCGCTATATTGCTTAGCATTTGTTTGATTTCTTCGTCAGTTAAAACTGATGAATCTATGTTCGAGCTAGAAAGGATTTTTAGGAGATATTTGAAAAGTGCACTCTTATTTTTGGCTTTTGATAAAAAATCATAATGTTTAGTTCTGTACGCTTCTTTTGCTTTAGATATCGTGTGTTTGAATAGAGTTCAGTAGAATTTATATTCGCTTCAATTTCTCGGGCACTAGTCATGTAGTAAGCTTTTCCAGGCTGATTTCCTTCCCTTATAATCTCGTGAACAAGCCGCATTCCACCAAGTGTTGAACGAATCATCTTTCTTTGATTAAACAATAAATTCCGTCTCTTCTAGAAGTTTCTAAACATCACAAATTTCTTAAATTTTTGTTCTTCAGAAGCACCAGATAGTGAAGAAATAGTTGACACCAAGTAATTTTTGAATATGCTGTAATTTATGAAAGTATTAGTTTTCCCAGCAGTGAATGTTACTGGAGAAACGATATCATAAAAATAAAGGAAGATTGTCACTATTTGTAGCACTATCAATGGTCGACCAGGAAGACACAGAGAGACTACTTCTAGAAAATGCGAGATCAATTGTAGAGCAGGTTAGACCTCTCGCAAATGTGTAGGCGCCGGAGTTCTTGCAAGGGAAGTTTTTGTCTAATGGTCTGTTCCATAGCCGGTTACCACAGGAATCTGTCTTTGAACACTGTAAATTATGATGTGAATTGAAGTCCCCAGAAATCAATATATCACGCCCGCAAATATTTAGAGCCATGTCAAAATGGCGAGTACATTGAACACCGTTAGGGAAGTAAGTGTTTATAATATATATTGGAAAACATCCGGCAAGGACTAGCTCTGCAGTTCAAATTTCACAGTCTTGATCCATACATTTAAAAATTATTTTCGCCTTATGACATATTTTACCCAAAATCAATGTGATTAGACCTCCGCCTCTAGTAGGTTGGTCCAATCGAAAGCACCTGTAAGATTTTAAAGGAAATGACCTTTCCCTAGTTAACCAAGTTTCTTGTAGTAATATTATATCTGGATTGAATTTATTTACAAGGCAAAATAAGTGTCTACGGAAGCTGCAAAAATGGAACGGCAGTTCAACTGAAGTACTTTCAATGATCCTATGGTGAAGAGAATGCAGCAGTCGAAATTGCTTTCTTTAGTATACTTTGTTTTAAAATTGCATTTGGCTGACTTTTCTTTGATTTAGATTGAGGAAGAGAGGGTAAGTCCTCGCTAACGGACGACATCGCTCTTTTTTGAGTCCTAGCAGTATGTTCTGCGTCTGTCATTTCCATGTCGTGGATGGGCTGGTTTTCAGAAAGAGGGGTAAAAGGTGAACTCGTTGACGTAATTTCACACTCGAGGATGGGCATCTGATGTCTTTTCTATTTAATACACTGTGTTGGTTTCGGATTTAAGGATACAGCGCCCTGACCAATAGACTAAATAACGGATTTTTTTTTTTCAAATAGCCTGCGAAATACTCTCTCCCAGGTTTGCTAAGAGTTGGTCCATTGCCTTCACTACTCTATTTTGCACAGCTGCTTCAATGATTCCCGAAAGAAATTGATCTGGGATGACATCATGTTTAGCAGCAACTCCTGCATGTCCAAATGTCCTTTCTTTCACAGTGATTGTCGCTTCTCTCCAAGGACATCTCCGTTTATCTATTATTTCCAGAATCTGTATTTATTGGACACAAGCTGAATAATTGGAATATTCAGCGGCGTGATACCCACCACACAGACAACATCGCTCATCTTTAGAGGTGCAATCACTTTTGGCATGGTCTTCCCCACATTTGAAGCAGCGTGGGGCTGATTTACATCCGCCTACACTGTGTCCAAGTCGCCAGCAATTTTGACACTGAAGTGGCCGCGGTGCTGGTTGATCCACTCTAAATACCAGTGGCCATACCTTAATCTCTGAAGAGCATGTTGTACCCGCAAAAGTGGCAATGACTGACTCAGTAGGCGTCCGGGTCTTGTCAACTACTCTACTACAGCGGTAGGCAGCAATGACACCAGCTGTCGATAAATTCTCTAGAGTTTGTTGCGGAGTCAGACTTGCATTGACACCTCTTGTGATTCCCTTGGTGCAGGCGAGGTGAGCAGGAATGAATGCACTCACCGGAGTTATCGCGAACATAGTGCATCTGAGTAAATCAGCAACACATGCCTGGTTTGGCTACCTGCACACAATACCTCCTCGACCGAACTGTCTAACATCTGTTATCGTCTGGTATAACAGAGTGGGAGGATTCCTGGATGGTCTGAGGGTTGTTCAGACGAACAGAGCCTCCGCTGGAAGTTACCAAGGTGACCGGGATGCTGGTGACTCCGCTGCGTAAGAAAACATCCAAAGGTAGGTCATTGGACGGGAGAGATTATGAGAGATGCCGTAGTGGAGGGCTCCGGAAATTTCGACCACCTGGGGTTCTTTACGTGCACCCAAATCTGAGCTCATGGGCCTACAGCATTTTTGCCGCCATCGAAAATGCAGCCGCCGCAGCTGGCATTTGATCCCATGCCCTGCAGGTCAGCAGCCGAGTACCTTAGCCACTAGATCACCGCGGCTGGGGCACCATCAGTTTCTTACGCTTCTATAACTTCACGCGTTAGCTTATGCTATGCTCTCCCGATTTCCAAGCACTGCGTCCGAAAGCGATTCGCAAGTGCCACTCGGCGTTTGTCTTGCGTATACTTCCATTGTCCCCGTTGATATGTGTGCTGTGGCGTTTCATGATGCATTACCAAGGAGCTCACCAAGCCATCGTCGTGCTGCTGCTGCTGCTGGTGATGATGCCTTCAAATATGGCTCGAGAGAAACTGAGAGAAAGAGAAAGGAAGAGATAACCAAATCAAAAGACACACGAACATAAAAAAAACAAGGCCGGCCGTCCACTTGCACGCCTCCTTCAGGCTTGCAACAACCAGTGCGAGGCTGCCTTGATTTGTCGCGAAAATTGCAGCTCTATCGTCAGCAATTTCGATTGGTTGAATAATTCATTTTAACTTGCTGGAAACATACAGGAAATGATAGGTGTTTTATTTCGGGTCTATGTATCGATTCCTACCCCCACGGCCTTGTTAATGTGCATCTCATTTTCGTAATGCACGCGTTTTCGCACTCACGCCTCCTCAGCTTCGAATATCACCGAACACGCCACAATGCACTTCTCAGCGGAATGACAAAGTGACTGGGTCACCTAAGCGGTGGCAATTTAGCGTGCAGTTGCTAGATTCTAGGCACAACAACAGCGAAAAAAAATAATTACCTAACACATTTGAAACGCCTATGGGTAACATAAATGACTATGAACTGCAGCACTAAGTTAGATTGGTCGGAGGCTTTTATTTTTTTACTCATGGTTTTGGCTCCATTTCGCTGAGTGCTTACCGAAGGCGTTTGCCTCGTTTTTCGCGGACATTGTAAACAGCTATATCCTACAATGATCCTGCTAGAAATCGGCCTGAATGACATTGCTTCTTGGATGATTGTTAGTTTGCGCGTGATTGTGCTCTTTACTTCTGCAAGCTACGTGCATTAGTAATATCCACGACTACCTCATGCTGCACATGAAAAAAATGTCCACTGGAGGTGCGTGCCAGGTGTGTCATGAGGCCAAGCAATCTTTGGTAACCTTTAAAGAATGGTTGTTACCTCTTAAGAAACAGTCCGGTTGTGTGCATGGTGGCAAATTGCATGTGATTCCACCTGCCAACCCAATAGGTAACGCTCAGTGCGTGTGTAGTCGATAGATCGAACGAATTTTCAACCTATTTGTGACGTGCGTAGCACTATTACAGTGCTTTGATGATAAGTTGGGAACCATGTAGAGAGATCCCTTCGTCCTACAGTGGGCATAACGTGAACTGACAAACCATGACAGTGAGGGTAATGATGAATAGCAGCAATAATGTAAAAAAAAAAAAACTTATGAAGTGCGCAAAGTAGTTACCGACAGAACGGGATGAAACCCTTGGCAACAATATCAACGGTTGTTAGGTTCGCGCAATCTTCTTTTTTATTTTACGCGCACGCACCTACGTTAGCAGGCATCGATTCAGCCTTGGAGTGTGGCGATTCTGTTGACTATTCCGTTATGCACAATTTGATGCCTAATTTTAATTCTGATACATTTGGATTAATGCGAAAAAGTAAATACTACAAAGACACTTTTTCGATCGCCAAATTTTTCTATCATTTTTTTTTACATTTCTACTCTAAAAACTGTCCCTTTGAAAAGTTTCGTTCATTTTATTAAGCTACAAAATGCTTGGCTAATCCGGCACCGTGGGTGTAAGCCAGATAGATGAACAGCAACAACTACGACAACAACAGCATTCATTCTCGTGTGGTGCTTGAGGTGATTGTTTATAAAGTAGGAGCTTTCCAACGTTATAAACAATCCTTCTTCGATATCTTCCGGGTACAATCTCATTGTACAAACCAGCTGCGAACAGGTTAACGCGTACTTGTACCGAAGTAATAACAATCTATCACCTTACTGAGGTACGTAGACAGAAAATTACGGAGTTGGGAGTTGGCCTCGACAACTACTGAGGTTATTAAGATGTTGCCTCTAGGCATCCGGCATGTAATCCAAACTACTGGGTTAGCTCATAAAAACAACCTGTCACTGCCCTGCTGACGCAATTCACTATGGCACTCCGTTTAACGCGACTTAATTATTCATTGCGAAATACGCCAGCAGCCCATAGACACAGGTTGTTTGTCGCTTGGGCGGCCATCGCTCCCGTGCACGACCGGGAACACCCGAGAGGATTTAGCAGGGAGAGAGCACCAAGCATAGTCGGTGGAGAGGAAGGGACGTAAGCACGAAACCCTTTCCGCATCTGTCGCAAGCAATGCTGACTGCAAATGCGAGCGCGTCGTTTCGGCACCACGTGCACGCGTGGTGTACGGCTGAGGAAACTTTCCGGCCTTGAGGACGTCCAGTTTCTAGCCGACCTTGTGCGTCGTTCTCCTCGCCAACCAACGCTACACAGCGCTGCTCGGCGTCTATGGCAGCGTTCACGCTGTCGCAACTTTTTTTTTTCTACCCCGCCTCCTCCGATCGCGCGCGGGGGCCCGTATTGAGCCGTTTTTCCTCGGTCGGTAAACGTGCGCGCGCTCTTTCAGAAAAAGCCGGCCACCCCCCCCACCATCGAAAGGCTGCTCCGTCTCACAATATTTCCAAATGGCCGCCTCGACGCCGCGCGTTTCTAGGTGACCGCCAACGTGCCGGTTGCCAAAATGTGCCCGCCGTGATATTCGACTCCTTTAGTGGGGGCCATTGTGCCCGCGTCTGATCGTGCATCTGCCGGCCGGCCGGCTTCGGTTCGAGAGGCCGAGCGTGTGTTTTCCTCTGCGCTGCGTCCAGTAGCTGCCGAAGATATGTGTCCGCGTAAAAACCGCACACGCCGCGTGTGCGTGGTGGTTGTGCGTGACAGTTGTTCTGTGCCGAGCTGACAGCGCTTCGGACGACAACCCCCAAAATTGGATCATTGTCGCAGAACACGAAACAGCGGGACAAACACGGGGACGGTGGATTCGTGAGGCTTTTGACAACGATGTCCCGGAGTACGGCTTGTCACATCTTCAGGTGCGTAATATGAACGGCTAATTTGACGCCAAAACTTACACGGCCCCACTGTTTCGCTTGCGACCCGGACGAGTGATCTTCGCAGACACCTATGGTGCTATTTGGAGCACTGCTTCAACTAAGGCAACTCGTCTCACTTCACAGGAGTACGGAGGTTCCTACGACAAGCGGACACCTCTCGGAGTCGGCAGGCGGAGGAGGGCGTTGGACTTGGACGACGAACACCGCGCGGTGTGGAGTGACCCCGAAGGCGCCCTGACCAGGACGGCCGAGTGGTTTGTGCGCAAGCTGTGGACGCCTATGCAGGAATTGGCCGGCAGTGGCGCTCTGTCTTCCAAGTGTGTGTCCGGCCTGCTGGCCGTCTACGGTGGAGTCCGCAGAGGACAGCTGTGGGCGTTGAAGTGTAAGTGATCATGAGGACAGCCAGTTTGACTTGATTGATCTAGAGAGTGCGTAGCGAGAGTATGTTGCCTTTTGGGTAGTGCGCTATCAAGTGATTTGTTTATTAAAAAGTGTCTATATATTCAAAAGCCAGAGCTGGCTGTAGTTAATGAACTTCTGAACAACTTGGCTAAGCTGCTGCCTAATGGGGAAAAAACTAGTGCTTTTCTTTCAAACGGTTGTTTTTAATCCTACTATAGGCCGTTAACAAGGAGAAATGTACCCTTCATCATCTCTATAATCCCACTTTCATGAATCCATACTGACCTTGCAATCTATCCCAGCAAAAGTTAAAGCTATCCCAGCAAAGGAATAGTTTATGCAACCCAGTTGTTTGCAATATATTGGGCGGCTCTTCAGAGTTACAATTGCCTAGCATTGAGGCGTCATGCTATCATTGCATGGTAGTGGAGCGAAATGTTGACCCATAAACAAAAGGGATGATCTAGGACTCGAAGCTAGGCAGCTTATTTTAAGACAACATATAGTAACTAATCGGTTTGTACTAGGGCAGTTCCGCCAACTGGTATGCGCCCGCGATATAAGACGACAAAAAACAGGTGGTGTGACTGCGCGAGAGCCCGGGCTCTCTTTGCGGGCCTTGCACTGGTTTTCGATGCGGCAATTCTTTATTACGATTTAATTGAATAAATAAACTTCATCGCAATTGGTGGAGGCACAGGGTATCGATCCCGATACGTCTCGCATGAAAAAAAAAAAAGGAATTTATTTTTTTCGTAACGCTGCAGAACCAGCGGCTATACGAGGACAAGAAAGCAAAGACAAAAAAAAAAACGATGTATTGTGAGATAACGTGAGCACGTTTTGGATTATTGGCTAATTCAAACAGTACTATGAAAATTAGTTTCATAGAATACGCGTAGGTATTTATTCTTGTTCTAGTTCATATTGGCTCTGTTCTTATTAGACACGAGCCAGTTGCCTTACTATTCAGTGTCAATGTATTTCAACGCAGAAAAGAGCCTCACTCAGACTGCTGCATTTTCAATTTTCTCAATGTTAAATATTTCTGTCATCCCTGAATACACCGTTTCTCGCTGTAACAAAATGGTTCATGCAAGGAAAAGTCCGCCCACGTATACATCGTACTGAGAGCCGTCACTCTCTGATTTGTCAAACGTGTTGTTTAAGGTCCGCTTTGCTCGTGTCCACTGAACACCGCGTTCAGCAAAAAAGAGGAGGCAACGACTAGCTTTCGAGAGCATTGTCAAAATGTCTGATACTGTTTCCTTATGATTTCCAATGCGAAAGCGCGTAGTTAGTAGAGGGCCAGAAGTGGGGAAGCGGGGGGTGCCAAGTGTGCGAAACCAAAGCCTCCAGCTGTAACGGATCTTCGCCCGAAGGTACCCAGCTGTAACGGCTTTTCGCCCGAAGTGGTGAAGTCGGTTGTTGATAATGTCTGTTTACTGCGATCAATATGCAAATAAGGCCTGTTCAACAGGAAAAGCGACGGCAGTGCCTTAAAGCGGCTGTAAGGGCTTAGAAACTCTGTCGGCGCGTGCCACTTACCGGCCGGATATTTGTGTTTCGTTTTAAGCAAGAAATCGCTTGTTTGTTAGGTTGTCTCTTGGAAGGTTCTGCCCACGTGAGCTGCGAAAGGCTTAGCGAGAAGATATGCCGAGTGTAGGTACTGTTGCTAAGAGGATTCTATGTTCTCGTTTTTGTATCCTATTTCACCTAGCTTAATATGTATTCCACATAGACGGTGGCAGGCATCGATTTGCCTTAATTTATTCCACTTGTCGATTGAGAACACGCTTTATTTCGCAAAGATGACCAGAAGGTATGTCCAAAGGTATATTGAATTAAAAAATGAAATCAGGCTACGCAAAATAAATATCCTTTCAGAGCACTATCATAACCAACCTTGCTATCACAGCTTAATGTAACTATTTGGAATAGAAACGAAGGTCACATTTCTGTTTGAATATCATGGCTAACATTTCCCGTTCACGTCAGTGTTCTGTGAGGAATCTGAATCTGTTCTCGCACATTTTGGCTAGAATATTACGACGAAATAGTTGTGTTCTCTAGATTTTGTGGACTAGAATGCAATGTAAATAACTTTAGCGACAAACAATTGCGTAGGCCCTAGCACAGTGACGTAGCCAGGGCGTGACACAGTGGGCCCGTGCCCCCAGCTGCCCATCAGCTGCTCGCTTTGCACCATCTCTGTGAGGAGGGAACACTTACCGCTGGCACAAAATATAAAGCGGGTGTGACGCAATAGCTGGTAAAGAAGTGATGTCATTTTGTGTCTATTAGTGCGAAATTTGATCTCAAATAACTTTTCATGGGCTGATCGCTAAGAACTTGCGCTAAGGCGATCCCCTGTGAGTCATCCACGAGTGCACTGCAAGTCAACGTCAGGAAATCTAATACACAATCATGACGAAATAGTTCTGGTTAAGTGTACTACGATTCACTTTGCCTCGGTCGTACAATGAAACTTATTTTACAAACTTTTATTAGCCGTTCGTGGTATCTGCCGCCGATCGATTGAGGCAACCAACAGCGTAGCAGCGTAGAGCGTGGCTTATTTGTTTCGCTCGCGGGTTCTTTAGCATGTACAAAGCTTGTGATCTGTTTTAACAAGAAGAAATGACGTGTAATCAAGCCAAAATTATGACATATTAGTTTTATTCAATGGTCGCAATAACTCCAATTAATTACACTGCACAAAATGGTAATAAGAACAAAAAATGTGTGGACACTCCATGTGGTATGTTTTTCGTTTTTTTTTTGCATTATGCTCCAATCAATTACCACTACGTATGCGTATGAAGACATGCGAATTGTACGGTAATGAATAACTTGGCAATCTGCTCATTGATAACGCGAATAGTAGGCACTGCATGCTCAAGAAGAAAACCGCGGGCTGCAGAAATACTGATGGATGAAAGTTCAGCGAGCAGGACATTTCGAACCATTGTCCTTCTTTCTTATCTGGAAGACATTGGTCACCAGGCAATCGTTTGTCGCAACGGCATCCTTGTAAAGCCCATCGTTTCCGCAGCTACCGACGAACTCGGCGTTAACTGTAATTTTCAACGTTCCGTTTCCCGTTGGACACCGCACTAAAGACATTTACCCACGATAAAATGCATCTAACGATTTCGCGCACAACAGAGAACGCAAGCAAGCACAGAACACTAAAACACGGTAAAAGGTGTGTCTTCGCTGACGAATTTGACGAGCGGGCCTTGCCATGTATACCCAAGTTGTGTAAGAGCTGCAGTGAGCAATGATCGTGTTGGCAGAGAGCGCTAGAAAAAAAGATTTTTCGTAATAACAAAAAAAACATGATAAATTTTTTGTTCATTGCGCCTACATAAAATTTTGGGGGGAAAACATCTCATTTGTAAAACATGTTCCTTGCTTCGATTTTGAATCAAACTTAGTTTTTCCAGTATTAGTGTTTGTTCCCTCCACACATATAGTTCCACTTCAATCGCAGCTCCCATAACTCATCATGCTGATGTCGCTGGCAATAACTTCTGAACCGCTTTTTGGCCAAGCCTTCGCTACCTATTTAAAGAGACCTTAGTTTCCCGGCGTTGCCCTACATCCGAAACCTATTGTTTTTTTTTTCACATTTTCTTTCTTGCATACATCTTCATTTTTTTCATAATTTTTCTAGTGCAGTACGATCTTATTTTTACAGCCATTCTTGAAGAACACTGAGTAAGGCTGCTTGAAATTTCAAGGTCCACTATGAATTCATTGATGTTACCTAATCTGCAGTCGCTATGACCGTCCACGTGCCATCTATCTCCATAAACATCTCTCAGCTTGCGGACATGCGCTGAATATCTGCATAATTTGTGAGAGAAACTCTCGCACTGCGCGCCTTTTATTCACAACCGAACTGCAAATAAAATGTTTCAACCTGCTGCACACGGCCTCAGAAGCTTATAACCGCTCCAAAAGTTGTGTACTCTTTAACCATCTCTTTTATGTTTACCGATTTCATATATTTCGGTTTACGACCTTGTCTTGTCTTCGAGGTCTCAGGATCACTGATTAATATGTGTGGTTTAACGTCTCAAAACCACCATATGGTTATGAGAGACGCGTCTCAGGACCATTCACTACGTGTCTGCGGCTGAAGTGTTCATTTCGGTGAGGCGCTGTTATCGTGAAACTGCATTTTTCGGTTCATTACGTTGCCAGCGCACTTGCTTCAGAGGCTTTGTGCGGCATGAATTTCTGATTTAAAGAGCTCTCCGCTTCCTTCGTATTGAAGCGCTCCTACGTCAATAAATGGCGGAACCTCGGTTATGAATTATCGGTGTTGTTAAGTTCAATTTCTCTGTGTTGTCCACCAACGCAACAGGACTATTTTGTTCCTTGTTTTTCATTCTTCATCATTAAGCACGTGCTCATTAGCGATATAGCTGACTGTATCTAGCGAAATAAGCGGGATTTTGATAGCAACCGAACTAGTCCATGGCCGGGACAGCCGAATGCTTTTGCGACTGCGTAGTTGCTTTCAAAATCTCGGCCACGGGTGGCCGGTCTCTGTGAAAGCGCTATTCAAAAAATGTGGGTGTAAAAAGGTCGCCATATATAGGTGCACGTGAAAGACCCACTAGCGGTCAAAATTAATGCAGTATTAAGCTGTCTCCCCACTTCCCATGTATACCGTACGCGTGTTTATAAAAAGTGTTTAACGCTTTCGAGTACTTAGTTCTCAACTACGACCCTTGCTCGCAAAAACAATTCGGCGGTATCCGTACGGCCACAGTCAAGGTGCACTTCCGACACAGAAGAGCCCAACGTCGAAGCATAGCGCGAGTAATCCTTTATGCTTACGTCTACGTGTAGACGTGCTGGTTACTGGTTATGAAATCAATTCGGTTGATTGATATGTGTGGTGACATGAATATTAGAGACGCCTTAGTGGATAGCTTCGGAAATTTTGACTACCACACGGGTCTA